TTTGTTTCAGGAAATTTTAAATTTCTTTTCTTAATTTCTTTATTCACCCATTGGTTATTCAGGAACATTTTGTTTAGTTGCCATACATTTACGAAGTTTCCAAGGTTCTTCTTGTTATTGTAGTCTATTGTGGCCAGAAAAGATAGTGGTATGATTGCTACTTTTTGAATTTTTCAGACTTGTTCTGTGGCCTAAGATAAGGTATATTCTGAAAATGTTCCATGTGCTGATAAGAATAATGTCTTTTCTGTAACCGTTGGGTGAGACGTTCTGTTAATGTCAGGACCTTTAGGTTATTGATTCTTCGTTGATTTTCTGTCTGGGTGATCTGTACATTTCTGAAAGTGGTGTGCTAAAGTTTCCCTACTATTATTGTATTGTAGTCTCTCTCTCCCTTTGGATCTGTTTATGTTTGCTGCATATGCTTGGCTGCCTCATATTGGTTGCATAAATAGTTATAATTGTTATATCATCTTGCAGAATTGACCCTTGTATCATATATATTGATCTTCCTTGTCTCTTTTTATACTGTTTGACGATTTGTAGTCTGTTTTATTTGATATAAGTGTAACTACTACTGGAATTTCATTTTTCACCCCTCACTTTTGGACTATGTATATGTTTATAGGTGAAGTGGTTTTTTTGTAAGCAGCGTAGTATTGGGTCTTGTTTCTTTGTCCATCCAGACGTTTTGTGCCTTTTAATTGGAGAATGGATTCCGTTTACATTTGGTGTTATTGATGAGTTAAGACTTTTACTTCCGTTTTGTTGATTGTTTTTTGTATCGTAATTTTTCTCTTCCTTTCTTACTGTCTTCCTTTGTGGTTAAGTGATTTTCTCTGATAGTGCTTTTTAATTAATTGCTTTTTATTTTTAGTGAATCTGTTACAGGTTTTTGCATTGTCAGTACTATAAGGCTTACAAAGCCATCTTATAACAAGTTATTTAAAGGGTGACATTTTAAGTCACATAGAAAAGAATAGAAACAAATGAGAATGAAAAAAAAAATTCTACACTTTAACTCTATCCCTCACATTTTGGCTTTTAGTTTTCTCAGTTCACATATTTTTATATTACCTATCTCTTACTATGTTGCTGTAGCTATAATTTTTTTGTTTGTTTTCTTTCTTTTAAATAATTGTTTTAAATAGATTTGTCTTCTGGACATAACTGGAGTTATGAGTGGATTGCACACCACAATTATGGTATGAGTATTCTGGGTTTGTCTATGTACTTAATTTTACCAGTGGGTTTTAGACCTTCAACTATTTTTTTTTCTAATTATTTTAGCACGTTAGTCTTTTTTCTTTCAGACTGAATAATTTTCCTTAGCATTTCTTGTAAGACAGGCCTGGTGGTGGTAAACTCTCTCAGCTTTTGTTTATCTGGGAAAAACTTTGTTTCTTATATTTGAAGGATAACTTTGCTGGATTTGGTTATTCTTGGATGATAGGTTTCCTTTCTTCCTCCCTTCCTTCCTCCCTCCCTCCCTCCCTGCACTTTTTTATTTTTGCTCCTCTTCATTATGATCCTCTCTGCTCCTCTCCTCCCCTCCCCTTTTTCCCCTCCCTTCTCCTTCCCTCTCCTTTCCCTTTCTGTCCTTTCCTTTCTTTCTCTGTCTCTCTCTTTCTCTAGTTATTCCACTTCCTCCTGGCTTGTATTGTTTTTCAATGAAAAGTCTGTTGCCACATGAATTGGAACTCCTTTGTATGTTATTTCCTTCTTTTTTCTTGCTGCATTTAGGATCCTCTCTTTGTCCTTGACCTTTGAGAGTTTGATTAGTGTATGTCTTGGGGTAGTCTTATTTGGGTCAAATCTGTTTGTTCTCTCACCTTCCTGTTGCTGGTTATTTATATCTTTCTCAAGTTTTGTAAAGTTTTTTATTTTTTATTTTTGAATAAGCTTTCTATACCTTGCTTTTGCTCAGCTCCGTCTTGAACACCTATAATTCTTAGAGTTGGTCTTTTGAGGTAATTTTCTTTATCTTGTAGGAGATCTTTATTGCTTTTCACTCTTTTCTTTTTTCTCTTCTGTGTATTTAAAAATAGGCTATCTTTGACTTTGCTGATTCTTCTCCTTGATCCATTCTGATGTTGAGTGCCTCTAATGAATTTTTCAGGTCAGCAGATATATTTCTTAGTTCCAAAATTTGTTTGGTTTAAACAGAATTATTTCAATTTTTTGGTTAAAATTTTCTGATAAATTTCTGAATTTCTTTTCTGTGTTATCTTGGAGATCACTGAGTTTCCTTAAAACTGCTATTTTGAATTCTTGCTTAAAAAGTTCACATATTGTCATCTTGTTAGGGTTGCTTATTGGTTTGTTGCTTTGTCCATTTGGGCATCATGGTTCCCTGCTTGCTGTTGTTTCTTGTGGATGTATATCTGTGTCTTTGCATTGAAAGATTAGTTATTTATTCTGTTCTTCTCTGTCTGGCTTGTTTTGGTTTCTATTGGATGTGTTTGGTTAGAGGTTATTTACTGCTAGGTTACTGCCTCCTTTTTGGCTTTAGGTGGTGCCTTAAGCTTAGGTTCACCTTGGCTCTAGTAAATTATCAAAGTGTTGCCCTTCCCAAAGGGGCAGGTCCCAATGGGGATATCTCGGCAGTGTGGGGAGGCTGGCTGTGGAGGTTTATGCCCAGTGGACTTGTGGGACAAACCTACTGTATGGTGCTACTGAATAGCTACTGTGATTTGGCATCTCCTTTGGTAGAGTTACAAAGGAGGGCTCTCCTTTATAGGGCTAGGGATTGTAGTCCTGCTTCCCCTCTTAGTCTCTATCTACCTCATGGATATTTCTCCCTTTAGGTACTTGTGATGCTTTCTGTGGGTTAAGGAAGGGACACATCTCCTCCTAGGGAACCCAAGATAGTGGGCAATTTGGTTCCACCTTGGTCTTACTTTTACAGTAAGTTGAAACAGTGAGTTGAGGGGAAATTTTCCTTGCAGTTGGTGCTGGGCAAAATGGGGGGAGGGGCATCGTGGATGTGCAAGTCTAATTCTCTGTCTGCTGGGAGATTTTTTTTACTTCTCTGTGGCCCTGGGAATGATCTCTCCTTATATTTGAGTTCTGGCTTATTTCTGGCCATAATCTCATTGTTGTATATTTGTTTTCCTTTTTCTGTGTAGGGGAGTCAAACCAGCTTGCTTCTGCATCACCATTTTGGAACTGGAAGCCAGCCTATATGGCTTGTGTTTAATTGCTATAATAACTGTGTTGAAAAAGATTTCCTACACTATGTTATTTGGCATTGAAGCAAAAAGTGTTTGCAGAAAGGCAATCAGAGCAGGGTGCACATTTAACAAGAATAAAGCAAATATTCATCATTGGAAGGATGACCACAGTTGTACTTCCTTGCAAAAAAGGTGCTTTATGGGATTAAGAAGAGGAGCTATTACATGAGCAAATGAAAGAGTGATACATTTTATACCCAAGTTATGTACAAACACTTTCCATATCACAAGCTGAGCGATATAATTTCACGGAGGAGAAATTGCCAAATCCTGTGGAATAGATGATTAGTGTGACCAGTTCAGGGACCATACAGAACTGTTGTTAAGGCATTGTCTCATAGCTTTAATTGCCTCCTTCCTTTATAAATGAAATCAATGAATTTGATCATCTTTTTATGTGTTTATTCACTTTTTACATATGTTAAGATAGTCATTTGATTTTTCTGTTTTAATCTGTTACCAGATTTTTTTTTTTTTTTTTTTTTCTTTCCGAGATGGGGTTTCGCTCTATCGCCCAGGCTGGAGTGCAGTGGCACAATCTTGACTCACTGCAGCCTCCATCTCCTGGATTCAAGCCATTCTCCTGCCTCAGCCTCCCAAGTAGCTGGGACTACAGGCATGTGCCACCATGCTCGGCTAATTTTTGTATTTTTAGTAGAGACGGGGTTTTGCCATGTTGGCCAGGCTGGTCTTGAACTCCTGACTTCAGGTGATCCATCTGCCTCGGCCTCCCAAAGTGCCGGGATTGCAAGTGTGAGTCACCGCGACCGGCCTGTTACTACATTTTCTTATGTCAAACCATCCTGCATTCCTGAAAGCAACTTGCTGTTTACTTTTTAAATTCATGGTTATCTTGTGAACGTCTTTTCAGTTGAGTGTGTACAGGTCTTCCTCATTTTTTTAAATGGCTGCATTATTTACCTATTGTATAAATATACTATAATTGTTTAAATAGCTGTCTTTTGGATATATGTGATTTCCAGTTTTTGCTATTAAAAATAATGTACGAGGCTGGGCGCGGTGGCTCACACCTGTAATCCCAGCACTTTGGGAGGCTGAGGGTGGAGCACGAGGTCAGGAGATTGAGACCATCCTGGCTAACACAGTGAAACCCTGTCTCTACGAAAAATACAAAAAAATTAGAAGGGGGTGGTGGCGAGCGCCTGTAGTCCCAGCTACTTTGGAGACTGAGGCAGGAGAATGGCGTGAACCCGGGAGGTGGAGCTTGCAGTGAGCCGAGATCGCGCCACTGCACTCCAGCCTGGGCGACAGAGCGAAGACTCCGTCTCACATAATAATAATAATAATAATAATGTACCAATAACTGTCTTTCCACATACACCTTACATACTCAGGCTAGCATTTCTGCAGAATAAATTTCTATAAATGTATTTATTATGTGCATTTCATTGTCTGCTAACATGAAAGAAAGTTAATTTTTAAGACATCTTTGCTTGGTTTGAAAATGTCAAATATTGTTAGAAAATATACCAGTGGTTGTCTTTGGGGTGATTGGCTTATGCATGCGTTTGCTTATTATTATTATTTTTTAACTTCAATACAAAAGATAGAACTTATTTTAGAAAACTAAATGCTTTATGAAAGCAAATGCTGCTTTAGAAGTTCTGTGATTGTGAGCAATTGTAGATGCCCAATAATACATCTAGCATAATGCAAAACATGACAAATTGAAAAGATATTTGTAGAAGTAGGTTGATTGATTTATTGACTGAAACAGATAGATAATTTTTACCAATTCTTTTTCAGGGTTTTTTGATTAACTCAAAACCAGAGAATGCCTGTGAACCCATAGTGCCTCCACCAGTAAAAGACAATTCATCTGGCGCTTTCATCGTGCTAATTAGAAGACTTGATTGTAATTTCGATATAAAGGTATGGTTTTCTTTTTTCATTTTTTGTTTCCTATTTGTTTAGTTAGCTAATTTAAATCCTCCCTTATTTCAGAAAACATTTAAAATTTAAAGTCCAGTAAGATTGAAAATAAACTGGATGCATAGAATAGAAATAACTTTTACTGGTTCTAAGAATTTTCAGGCATTTGTTGGACATCTTGAACTGTGGTTTAACAGTGGAATCTTACTTGATCTCATGTAGGAATGAAAACTTAACTTCAGCCTTTAGTTTTATGCCTTTACCCTTCCAGTATTAATCTCAAACCTACATCTATACCTGTATCTACATTGTCATTGAGGTTTGTCTTTTGTAATAAGTTAAATCTGCCCCTGTATAAAGTTTTTTCTCTCTGGCATGTGTTAAGCTAGCATTTCAGATAGTAAAATGAGGTTTACCCACCTCCCTCACCATGTATCACCAGTGCTGCTCTAAGTGTATGGTTTTTTAAAGTCTGTTTTGGGATTGGCATTGGCTAAGGAGCCACATTGAGGCCTATGTAAAATAAACCTTGATGTAACTGTTACTGGACTTCCTCAGAGCTGAGTGTCATATAGTGTCTTGCATGTATCTCCCAGAATAGGACATGGGCTATTATTTCATGTTGCTTGGTCTTAGATAATTTGTTCAGCAAGAAAAACCGCCCTGTCACGCTGTGCATGAATTTTCTCTGCAATTTTGATTGCATGGAAGAAATGATACCTCCGTAATAAACTTATGAGAAGAATAAAATAATAAATATAAAGGAATTTGAAAATGTATAGCACTGTGTAAATGATAGGTATCATTACTACTTTATGTTAGTTCCAAATATAGACTCTCACTTGCCTTTAAATGGGAATAGATTAGAGTTTGAAGTCAAAGTAGTAGATTTCCTGCTCCTCAGAGTTGTTTATGATAGTTTACATTTAACTGTTTTATCCAGAACTAAACTATAATAATTAGAGATTGCTTCAGTTAAAATTAAATGTTATTGTAATGTTTCATTAATTTCTTGCTGTTAAGAAATTAAAAGTAAACTAATTCTATTGATCCCAAGGTCTACTGCACTATTATGCTTTGTAATTTGTGGACTCAGTACAGTCTGATAGTTAGAAACTAGAATACTTTTTTGTTGTTGTTATAACTTTCCTTTACAGGCAGGGATGGGAGATAGTACACTTTGAAAATTAGGGAAATACTGTTACTGAATATCTGTTTTTGAAGATGAAACCACAACTCGGGAATGAATACAGTAGACTTGTTAGCCTTCTTGTCCCTTTAGTGGATCCTCATCATGAGTCTGAGTACTTCCAAAGGAGCTTAATGATTTAGTCATTAGTCCAGCTCATCTCTTTTCACTGCTTGCCTTGAATTTTATGTTGCAGCCATACCGCCTGCCTGAATTCTCTCAACTGGCTGTGCCATGCTGATCATACATTTGTGCCTTTACATGTACTATTTTCTCTGTCCAAGATCTCTGCTCCAATGATCTTTATCACCCATTTATCTGTCTCATCACTTATGTGCTAGCTGAGGATGTTACCTCCTCAGGAAGCCTTACTTTTCTTTCTACTTCCTCTGTTGCAGTGCAGACCATTCCAGCTCAATGTGCCACCCTTCCACTTTGCAAATACTTCCTTCATTGCGTTTTATCACATTGTTATTGCTTTTTATTGAATATATATATATATCTCATTTGTGAATTAATGGTGTTTAGCGTTCATGTTTTAACCATATTTATATATCCAATTTGTATTATAGTACATGGTAAGCAATCAATAAAGACTTATTAAATCAAACTGTAATAGCCTTTTGCCTATGTGTCTAATATATTCTTGAAAAATGTGTACATATGAAAAACATGGAAAAAGGTTTCCGTTGAGCCATTCTAATGTTAGAAAGGGAAATGTTAAAAAAATTCTCATTGTACTTTACCATGTAGGCACAGTTTTAATGAATAAGGCTCTAGTCTGTTGTACATGTTCTTTCACTTGGTTATTTTTTCTTCCACAAATATACAGTGGAGTATATTCTGGCCATTTAAGGCTGAAGATTCCTTACTTATGTCATTCCTAATGATTTCTGTTTTAGTCAGAGTTGTATAAATTTCTGGAACATCAGTTTACAGGGAGACACAATGATTATAATCAAGGTCTGGAAACAGAGTGTATACACTTCAATCTCATCTTTATCATTTATTAGCAGTATGACCTTGGACAAGTTATTTTACCTCTGTGTGCCTCAATTTTCTTATCTATAAAATAAGAATTATAATGTTCCCTATATCATAGGATTGTTGGGAGGATAACATGAACTAATCAATGTTAAATGCCTCCCCAACAGCACCTTGCATACAGGAAGGAGGCAGTGGGTCTTAGCTGTTGATGTTTTTTGCTTTTAACCATTAGAATTAAATAGAATAAAGGTAAAGATGGCAAAATTGCTGACTTTTTGGAAATCAAATTGTCTAATAAGTCACATGTGATATAGCAACTCAGTGTCAGCTGTTGTATAAAATTTCTAATTTGGCTTATAAAGACAGTTTAATCATACCATTGTGGAAAGTATGTTTCATAAATTTGTAGTAGTAAGAATTATGCATCACCTATCAAGGTAGTGTGACTGGGTAAGGATAAAGTCATTATGGTTACTGGAAAAACAACTGGAATCGCACCCTAAAGAAAATTTCCTTTCTAGGGTGGTTACTGATGGATAAGCTGTTAGCCTTATTAACTGTACTTTTCATATCAGAAATCTCTGACTGCATTTAATGAGCTTCCAAAATGGTTATATACAGTTTTATATTAAGTGTGTTTTGGAATTTGGTCATCAATGTTAATATGTATAATACTTCTTTTCAGAATTGCTGATAAATATCTCCTGTAGATAATCAATAATGGTTCATTCGTGTATATCCACAATTCTCTATGATGCATTGGCTTAAAATAGTTAGAAAATGATATATTTCCTTATTTATTACATAGCTTACTAGGACTGAGTACTGAGGAAAACTTAATTCAGCTTCATACATAATACTACAATTGATGGTAGTGCAGGGTTATATTTTGGCATGCCTCTTACCCAAAGTGACATACAAATTATCTCAGACAAAGGAGAATTGGCTCTATCTTTTAAAGTTTTCCTTGGAGAAAGGAACTCTTTGTTTTAGACCACAAAGAGAAAAGAAACGAGGAATAAAAATTTATCGAGATATTTCAGATGATTAATGTTGGTGGGTATTTCAGGATTTTTACAGTTCTTTTAGTTTTTTTTAAAAAAAGATTAAATAAACGTACACTTTTCTTCTTCTTTAAAAGGAAATGAATAAGTGGAATATATGTTATAGTTTTTAAAATGGCATATTTTCTTCATATAAACCATCCCAAGTGATTTGTGACTCAAAGATAGCCACAGAGGCAGCGGAAATGCAATTAACAATTCCTGGAGGAAAGGGAATTGCTTTCCAGATAAAGAGAGCCATTGTTTTAATTTTTTATCTTCTGTTGAGAGAAACACATATGAACCTTTTAATCTGTCTTACCTTGAGGAGGTGCAGCAAAACCCATGCTCAGAATGAATGTTTGAATATGTAGAATATCCAAAAAGCCAGTAAGAAGAACTATTGATTACATGTCAGGTACTTATTCTAAAAGTAATCACTTATACTGACAAAAACTGTATCCTCTGAAAAATACAGCTCTTTAGAGGAAAAGCAAAACAGTGCTATTTTGTCTTTGTATGATGCTGTTCTTTACTGTGACAAAACATAATTGTTTGGAAATGTTAGTTTTTGGTGAGCATTTGAGATTCAAAAACATTGTTGGCACTTTGGCAAATAAATTAAGGCTATATTAAATCTTTTAAATAGAAAGTTGACTTTGAAGCATTCTGAGGGAGACGTTTCTCAGAAGGCTTGAATTGGCATCCCAGTGAGAAATATGACTTTAAAAAAAATCTGTAAAAATACCTAGTAATTGAAAGGCCATTAAAATAATCATTTAACATTGAACTTTCAGAGCTATACAATTTTCTGTATCTATAACTGAATAAAGATAAGTTATAAAAAAAAAATCTGCCCATTGTCATTTCAGTACCAGATGCTTTCATTACTTGGATATAATGGCAAGTCACCAATTTCTTTGAGTAGCGAATTTACTGTATTTTAGCTGGACTTTAGGGAACACTGGTAAACAGAAATGGTGCAACATATGCACTTTATTCAGCCGTGTGTGCTGAATCTTATTCTATCTGTGTGAATGAGTATTTTTGAAAAATGTAGCTGCAAAGCCATCTAGGCCAGTTATCAAGGCCGAAAGGACTTAGATATTATTCTCCCTTCCCACACCCCATTTTTTTTTTGGCATGAATGGAGGTACATTTGGATTGTAGATGATAAGGAATATGTTGGGTCTCTTCAGAGCTATTTTCTGCTGTAATGTGGCTTTTATAAAACTTAACTGGGATACAAATACAAAACTTAACTGGGATACTTTACCTGACTTCTGCCTCTCTCTCAAGTTTCATCTCTACTTTGCCACTCCTCCCACCTCATAAGAATTTACAAGTCCCCATATGTGCTGAGCAGTGTCTCCCACTCTGTCTTAGTTTCTGTCATGTCCTCCATCTGGCATGTCCTCCTTCTACTTGTCTGTCTGGCCAATCTGACTTTATTTTAGATCTAAGATAAACTGTGTCCTGTCTGAAACCTTTCCTGATTTTCTTCAAGGTAGAACTCATCCTATCTTTTTTTTTTTTTTTCCCCCCCGAGATGGAGTTTTGCTCTTATTGCCCAGGCTGGAATACAGTAGCACGGTCTCGGCTCACTGCAACCTCTGCCTCCCAGTTTCAAGCAATTCTCCTGCCTCAGCCTCCTGAGTAGCTGGGATTACAGGTGCGTGCCACCATGCCTAGCTAATTTTTTGTGTTTTTGATAGAGATGGGATTTCATCATATTGGCCAGGCTAGTCTTGAACCCCTGGCCTCAGGTGATCCACCCGCCT